ACCTTATTTAGATCGTTTGATGCTACTACCCAAATAATGCAATTGTATAGACTATTTCCTTTCACTAGGCAGTTGTGAATCTCTGACATGATTGTTGTTTTACCCTCTCCTCCCATCCCCCAAACACCAATTCTTCTGGTATTCGTATCATGTAAGAATCTCTAAATCTTCATACAAGTTTGTTTATGTGTTTCATATTCCACCATTGGAGTTACAGACAGAACACCACCTCTCTTGTTTACAGGAATAGCAATTGAATCCTCTAAATGTGGGACATTCTCTAGAAGTTCATGAATATCTCTGATCTTCTCCTCAATAAGTTTCCCCAACTTGATTCTTGAACAAATGAAACAGCAACATTTAGTTGATCTGTACTGACCATTTTCATCCATGAGGCTACTTACATCTGCTTTTACTTGATCAACTCGCTCAAACCATAAATTACATTCCCTTGTTGGCTCTGCCCTTTTAGATGCCACAAGTGATTTAGTTCATCTTCAACATCTTTCTTACAAGATTCAGCTGCTGAATATTCCTCTTGGATGTTTTCCAGTGTTTATAATTGTTTCTAAATACTTCACGCAGAGAGCAACACAAGCCTATGATGCTTGACACACTTGCAGGAACTTCCATGGTTGGCTCCAGGGAATTCAAACAAACAGAGGAATTATGAGAAGCAACATGTAAATTACTGCAGCTAGTGTATTACGTCAGCTACACATTGAAAACATAATGAAAGGTCAAATATATGATCCCCGAAACTTTATATGCAGGAACAACATGAAGAGCAGGAATACATCTGAACAACGATATCCTCATATACAAGACTAATTCATGCTTCTGTGTGATGCGTGCATGATCAAGCTAGTGAAAGAGTAATGTCAGGAACAGCGTGAACTATCAAACAGTTGAATGTTACTTTAGTTGGGTATTCAGGGTATTGCAATAAACTGACAGAAAAATTTAAAGTGGTGTTTATCATTCGGGGCCGTTGAGTCACTTCGGATCAGGTTGCATAGGGCTCGTTCAAAACACAAAAAATGCCAAATCCAGATGTTGCATAAGCTAAAGTTGAATCCAGAGATAAAGGAAATACATCAAACACAAAGCGAACAATAAAGGGGAAGAAAAGAAGATAATCGTACCAAGCTTCTATCTGAACACACAAAAGCTCATATTTGGTCAAGGCATCGCAATCCATCACCCTTCCTCCTTCTCTTTTGAAATCATCCATGTCTTTTGTGGTTTTCATAATGATTGATTCTATCTTATGTTTCTATCCTTCTCTTCCATCCATATTGGTGGAGAGAAAGTCAGAAAAGAGGGAAATGATGTAGAAAACAAAAACAAGAAAAAAGAGACAAGAATTTGCGAATTTAAAAAAGAATAGGTGATGTATTATATATAATCTACTTCCTTTAGTTCTTCTTTCTAATTTACATTCGTGTTCTCTTACTAACTCTGTATTATAAATTATTCTTTTAATCTTAGTAATATTTATATTTTATAATAAAAAAAACAGAAGAAGAGGTGATTTCGGGACACTGTCCCCTCATTTTTCCCATTTTTTTCTTTTTCTTTACTATCATTTTATAATTTGATATGTTTAAATTTAATATTTTATAAAATTATTACAATATTACATAAATAAATTTGTACTATTATAATTTGATCAATATAAACTGTAAAATGTTATTAAGATTTAATTAGGATATCTATTCAAGTGAAATTTTAATATTTTAAATTTATTTATGTAAAGTTATAATATTATAATTGGGAAAATTGCTGCCTTGCAAAATTAATTGTCAAAGATACCTGAAATTTAGTTAATGACTCCAGTGTAATTTATGTTCCATTAATGGAAATTTTTTTAACAGCATACAAAATATTTGCATATAAATAAAAATATGTAGTATATATTTAAAAAAAATTATAACTGTTAAAAATGAGTTGCATTCATTCAAAATATTAGATTTTTCGATAGCTTTACACGATAAATTCAGTAGTTTTTGTAATAGTTTTATAACATATTTAATCAGTAAAACTTTAATTAAATTATAATAAAAGAAAGAATAATTAAAAAAGGGAGAAGCTCCCTCAATCCATGTTCCCCGGACAAGCCCAAGAAAAACTAAAGGCCTGCTTGGTTTGAGGGGAGGGAGGGGAGATTTTATCCTCACTTTGTTTGGTTTGATTAAAAAGAAAAGAAAGGGAGGATATTTAATGATCCCTTATTTGGTTCAAGGAGGGGAGGGGAGGGATAGTAATAATCAATTTACCATTTTACCCTTATATATTAGTTTATGTTTTTTATTGATATATTATATAAATTAATTTACATCTTAATTTAGTTTATATAATTTAATAAAAATTCAGTCTTATCATGTTAATATGTATATTAAAAAATTAGTACAGTAATTTTTTATTCTAATTAATATAATAATATATTTAAAATAATCAAATTAACAAATTTATATGCTCTAAGAAAAATGAAATTTTATTCTCTTTATGCTATCTTTTTTTTTCCAGCTTTAAAATATATTTAATAAATAATATATTTATAAAAAAACAATTACTTTTATAATATTATAATTTTTTATTTAAATAATTTTTTATTTTTAAATAATTTTTTTATAATATATTTTTAATTATAATAATATTTATTTTTATTTTTTTACTTAGGATAACATATTTTTTATTTGAAATAAATATGATAATAATATATTTTATGGGTAGAAGTGAATATTAAAAAAACTATAAGAGTATAATGGTTCAAAAATTTGGCTCTCCTCCAAAAACCCCCAATTTGAAGGGGAGCTAAAATAGGGGGAGGGAGAGGAGGGGAGGGGACATTTTAGCTCCCATCTCCTCTAAAATTTTTAAGCAAATGAGGGGAGAGGCTTATTTTCCCTCCCCTCCCCTCCAACTAAACAAATCCTAAAGCGCGTGAAATGAAGGGGGATTTTTTTTTTTTGGGGGTGAGTAAGAAAAGAGCTCCGTTACATGTGGGACAAATGTTCGAAATAAAATAGTGAACCCATTATTTGTTTCCCAGCAAAACCCATTAATTTAAGTGTATCCAAAAAAAAAAAACAATTAATTTAATGTTAGTGGGTGACTAACTGGGTACCATACCAAGAATGTGCTGGGGACCAGCGTGGCTTCCAACCTCAACCGCCACAGATTCATTTTATAAACACAATTCAAACAAATATATATAATCATAAAAAAACTTATCCAAAAACACTAAAACCTAATTAAATATTCTTAAGAATCTTCAGAATATCCAACAGCAAAGAAACCTCTCGCTATATATATTAAAAATTTTCACTCGGGTTAGACTAGATCAGGTTAAATACTCTAATCACTTAGTCGAGAACAAGATCCAGTCTGACTAGTTAGTCTAGTTTAGTTTAGTCCTATTTTATTAAATTGGACTGTCTCGGGTTGGATTTACCTACCAAGTTTTTTCACACCCTTAGCTTTATTAGGACAGGACTCTATGGTGTTGGGGGACCGATTTGTGGTATTTGTATTTTTGAATTGTTGTTGTTCTATTATGCTTTGGTTTGGTTGTTATTAAGCTCTGTTTAGTTGTGGGTTGTCCATCATAATAGAAGCCCTCTCTTCTGTGATGAATTGTATTGTTTTGTACATGATCACTGTGTAACTAAATACACATCTCTTAATAAGAATTTAAATTTTAATTTGTTATGTTGTAACTAACTAGCCCTTCTGTTAAATTCCTAAGGATCTAAGCTAGACTTTTGGGCTCTCTTCCGGGCTGAATTCGCTATGTAAAGCCCAAATACAAGTGCCCTTCAAAGCCCATCCCATCAAAATATATAAATGATTATGTACGTACCAGGAGTCCAGGACACGGGTTAGCATGTAGAAGGAACTCGCTAGCTTAATGGATGTCACCTAGCATGGAATTTCCCAGTCCCCATATATAAGTGCTTCTCTGGCACTTAAATACTTATAAACAAGCTTCACATAAATCGAGATTAAATTCTTTTCACATACTATCCTTGTATTTCTTAAATCGCAATTGAAAAGCTACTTATAAATCATTTCAAATAGATAGTTAAATCAGTCGGGGCAAAAACAATACAACTCTATATCCTCCATTCACTTTCACTTTGGATATTTATGCAGACAATCTGATTAAAAATAAAAAGGCTTCTGCACTAGAATTTTTTTTTTTTTTTTGGTATTGTGTAATCACTAATTGTTCCCTAACCTAAGGGAAAAAATATCAGTCCAATATAATTTCGAAAGCATTAATAATACATGCTAACTAATTGGACCTATTTATAATTTTAGATGGAGATATATATTATCCTTTTCAAGTAACTAATAGATTTGTTTCTTAATATAATACTTATATAACTAATTTGTGGATATTAAGAAAATTTGTTTAGTTAGTTATTTGTAATAAATTAATGTTACTTTTTCTAAAATACCCCTTTTCCATTATGTGCATTGAAATCATTTCGTGAAAACTTTTTAGTATGTGCAAGCATCATAGGGATTACTTGGAGGAAAATGGATATAATTGAAGACAAAATAAATTGAAATCTTATATTTATGATTAAATTGAATTTCCAACCAGTTCTTATATTACGAATTATTGCTCTTTTATTAAGTACTACACGTAGTATGATAAAACCTTTCACAAATTCAAATGTTTCTTCCTACTCAATCATACAAATGCTTAAATGTCCTAGTTTACTTAAAGCACAATTAAAACGGCAATCTCACACACAAGACTATGTATGTCGGTATTTGAATGTAATCACTCAAAGTCCAGGCAATTTACAGAAAAGCGTATCCAGTTCTCTATTAACATGACAAAGAATGTGAATTCAATGATAATTGCCAACTCTTGGTCTACATAAAAGCTAAGATTATATACCGATATAATATCTTCGGTCGTAATTATAAGAGCTCATTTGTAGTTTATGAATAAGCTCTTATAATTAAGACAGAGATAGTACTACAAACTAAGAGACACACACATATATATATTCCATAATAGTTATATCTATTCGTACAAGTATCTACGTTCGGAGGTATCTATAACATCTCTAAGCCAACTGATTGGGTCCGTCGAGGATTAACGTGATCATGATCATCAGAAGTTCTTACACTCTCCCACCTCGAAGAATTCCAATGTCGAACAGTGTCTGTTCCACCAAAAGTTGCAGCTCTTCCTATAGTGTTGAAATTGAAGCTGCCATTGTTGTAAAGGCCTGAAGTGAGTCTCACTAGTGCCTTGTTCCAAACACCATTATCATCGGAAGCTTCTGTATTATTATTATTATTGTCTTGATCACCTTCTTTCTCTTGATGAAGGTAAGTCCTCAACAGAGCAACGATCAAGAAGATGGTGGAAGTGAAACCACTTATCACATAGAGAATCCAAAAGTCGGCTAGGGTTAGGCTTTCAGTTTCAGAAGATGACGTTGAGTCGCTTGAGCAGTTATTGGAAGGGATCAACCATTTGTCTTCCAACCTCCTTAAAGTTCCATTCTCCGCTAATCTTAAAATACCTTCAGAAAAGTCTTTAACCAACGGAGAGTCTTTTTGGAATACCTGCTTAGTTATACGTATCAAATGGGTTAGAGACTTATAGAGTAATAAGAAAGTCAAGAATCATTACTGAACATGCATATATATAGAATGAACCCGCACACATCATGCTTTGTTCTATCAAGTCGGGAAGAAGTTACAAATCCTCAATAACCATATTTTGTTTCAATCTCATATTCTTGTTAGAGTATTAAAATGATTCAAATAGTAAGCCTCTATTAACAAGTTATAAATAGTATGAATTGTATATTCATCAAACTTGGTACAAAGTGCATGAGAAAATGTCAGTTACTAATGAATTCAATCAGCTTGAAAAGTTACAACTCATCTGTGTCAATCTAAATATATTGACAAAAATTCAAAGATATAAAGTCGAAAGAAAGGCTGTAGGAGGGTACTTACAAAGCCGAGGCCTCCAAATTTATAGCCAGCAGGAGTTGCAGTATATTGATTGCAATACTTGTTTAAGAAAACCTTTTCATATGGGCTCTCAAGGAAGAGGGCAGAAATTTGTTTGCTCTTAAACTTGGCTACAAAGTCAGGCTCACCATCAAGACTTAGGATCTGCTTTTCAGGTAAATCATAGACATGGAGCAAGTAGTTCTTCACAAATTGACTGCTATTATCACAGCCAACAGTTAACTTATTTTCCTTCAGCCACTGTACGTCTCTCCCAGTCTTCATCCGTTTCACAGTGAGCAGAGAAGACAGACTTGCTGTGTAACTTGAAGTCAGAACAAACACCAGAAATAGCCATGCAGCAACCACCACCCTTGCTGAGTTACTGTACACTTTGCCCCCTGAGGAACACATTAAAAAATAATTATAACTAAGATGCTGATTACAGTGTTACTATGTTTTACACTTTATTTAATGCTACATGAAGACAATTAAATAATCATTACTTTGTAACTGACTTAGTTGTATAACCAATCATCATGTTCTTAGTTCAGTTTAGTTATGCTTAGTTAATTAGAAGCTCACGTGATGCGGCTATAATTAACTTTGACACTGTACATTCAGTAATGCGATACAGATCTTTCATCTCATACTCAACTCCTTATTTCATCTGTTCACATTTATGAACTTGTTTGATCATCAAGTATGGATTAGAGGATAGTAACAAATACTCTCTTCAATCTTTTATGTAAGAATTAGATAACTAGCTAAAATTTACAGAGATTAAGAAAATTAGCTAAGTTAGTTATATGTAGTAAAAAAATATGTATTTTTTTTTTAAATATCCTCTTTTATCATTTGCATTGACCCTACCCTTGATGAAAACTCTCTTTGTAATTATAAATTTAAAATACAAAGTGAATTGAGATTTTATATTATAAAACTAAAGTAAACCCTCATAATTAGATCCTATACTTAGGACGGAAGAGTATGATAAAGCTCAAAACAAAAGAGGAGAAAGGCATATAAGATCATGCATTTGTGTCGAATCTTACCGTGAGCAAAAAATAGGGAAGAAAAGGCGAACCAAGAAGTGTTGCTGAGTTGATTTTTCCATGATCCTTTATAGCTAGGGTTTAAGGGATGCTCAAGGAACCAAATGGCAAGCGTTGTGTATGAGAATATGACAGCAGTGGCTAGCCACATTTGCCAGCTAAATGGCTTCACGAACAGAAACGTCGTCCCTTCTGTCTCAGCTGGAAATATGAGAGACAAACCTGACTCCGAGTATGGCTGTGTGAATGATACATTCTTCGATCGATTCTCCAGTATTGTTACGTCTCCAACAATAGCATCATATGACTGTGTCATGAATAATACAGTTCAACAGAATATTAATAAAGTTAAATGATATAGTGTAACGTTATAAAAATCGAATAAAAAATTGATTAAAATTTTAAGAACTATACAAGTGCAGCACGTTTCATGAACAATTCGACTATTCAAAGTTTTGCAATGATAGAAGATTTTTCCCTCTCATATATGGACCAGGTCCAAGTTAGAGTGAAGAAAAGTCTAAAGTCGAATAAGGAGAGTGTATTCCAAGAAAAGGTCTCATGAGATAGAAAAAAAATTGTTAAGAAATATCAGCAGCCATCTGCGTTCATACCAGGCCACATCTATTGTTTATATCAATTTAATTTGTTGTTCAATATTTTTACTGTTTGAATCTTCCGCCAGAATTAAGTGGCAAAATGGGTGTAAAAAGGTCAGTGGTTCCGATTACTTTAACAAGTAAATTAATCTCAAGAAATTTTTTGCATGTACTACGTGCTAGCACTTCATATTTAAATACAGAAAAATAAATATAAAGTTGAAATTTTACCTGGTCGGTGAATTTTCGTAGAAGCACATCATAAGATACATCATCGAAGGGGAAATATTTATATGGAAGACCGGAGTACTTATGTTTGAGCTGTTCTTGAACTTTTTCAAAAAGTTCAATACAAAGGCCAACATATCTGCCATGAGATTCTTCCTTCACAAAATTCTCGAAAGCAGGCTTTACAGGAACTGCTACTCTTAATGGATTCTCGTCCGAAGGTATGTCCCACCCTAATGGAGCATTAAAATTATTGTTTAGATCAGTCTTTAGACCTCCAGGCCAAACCACTGGACCATTTATATGAAGTGTAGCAGCATCACTTCCTTTCTGATCTATGTCTTGCAGAGATTTGAAGAACTTCAAATTTGGTACCCAAAAGTCCAACTCTGTGTATTTCTTGTTAACCACGTTTATCACTCGTAACAATGGACTTTGTGATAAACGGCCTTCCTTGAAGCTTATGTTACCAGTTAAACCAGTGAAGTTACTAGACAGCATCGTCTCCGTGAACAGTCTCGAGTTACTGGGATGATGATTGTTGTTATTATTATTATTATTGTTAGTACCATTCATCTTCTCTAGGGCTTTTGTAACGATCCTGATGCTATCATAAGCTTGCAGTGCAAGGAATCCCGGATTATTAGAGTGGTTTTGAAAGTTTTCTATGAACTGAGTATAAGCACTTGAACTTGTAGAATAGTAGCTTTTGATTCCAATAGTACCTTCCATGGAGGATAAGACATTCTCATCGACTGAGTCAAGCATACCAGCAATATCCTCATTAATAATCCAAGCTGATTCTTTCCCTAATAACCTTAGTTTCCTAGCTTCTCTAAACAAATGGGTCACCATAGGCACTGATGCTTTGAGAATAATGAAAACCCTAGATTGTGCTGATAATAATAAGCTAATCAGTTCATCAAGAACAAACCCTTTTGGATCAGATAAAGAAGAAAATGGTGGGAGGACAAGTCTACGCTCAATTTGGGAATTAGTCTTCAAGAGGGCTTCAGAAAGGAGGGTTAACATGCCTGAAGAATCAGAACTATAAGAATCATCTTCGTATATAGCTATAACCTTCTGCCAGCCATATGCGTGAACAATATCAGCTATGCAGTTCATATTTGCAGTCTGATTCTTGGCCATTTGAATCAAAAAAGGCCAACGAAATTGGATTGATGATGGTGGTGAGGATATTGAAGGAGATGAGAATGAAATTACTGGAACTTGAGCTTTATCTCCAAGTTCAGCTACAAAAGCTGCTTCCTTCCATTTCTCCATTCCAATTATAACTTCAACTTTCGTTTTATTTATCAGCTCTTCAGCTGGAAAACAAAATAATTAAAGGGATTCACTCATCACATACGTAATATAAAAATTATGTATATAAATATAAAGGCATGTGAATATATATACTCACCTGCAGAAGCTGCCTGCAATGGATTGCTTAGAGAGTCACGAAAATGGAGGGAGATGTTGAGGCTCTTTGAGTAGTTGTTAAAGCTTTGTGCTGCAATTTCCATGGCTGCTTTCTGTTGTATTCCTGCATGAGAATTGACATCGATAATTGCACCAACATCGATATTGATTCCATTACTGTTATCTGCTGCGGCTTCTGGGAAGCAACTGAGAAGGAGAATAATGGAACTGAACTCAGCAAAAAGAAGCAAAAGGCTTCGATCTGTATTCATAGCCTTGAAGCCAAGTTTGATAATTTCACAGGTAATAAGATCGCAATTTGTACTTTGTTTTTGCGTCCACCAGCTAGCTCTCGGGTGTCAGAACTCAAGCCTTTATATAAGCTCATGAGGCTGACGAAAATATAATCAGTCTTGTTTCTTGCAAAGGTTGCAAGAGATCCATTCAAAGCCTTCCTCTTCTTTTGGAAAGACAATTCAAAGCCTTCTTACCAGTCAAATAAAGTGACGATGAATCTTCGGGGAATAATACTTGAAAATTAGTGTCTTTGACTAGGGAATGCTGAGTTGAAACTTGCCAATAAGAGAATCACCAAAAATAATGGACCTTTCCCACGGCCCACATCCTCCTGCGTGGAGCTTTTTACTAAGGATAAAAGTATATTTTAAGACTCCAGTAATATATATAATTGTATAGGTTTTTTTTTTTCATTTTTTTCATATGTTTCTAATTTTTCTCTCATGTTTTCTAATTGCATTTATATCTAATTTCTAATTTTATTTAAAAAATTAAAAAAATTTATAGCCATTTTTAATTTATATTTTAATTTTTAAAATTTTTTGGTGGCTTTATAAACAGAAAATTTAAAATTTTGAAAAGTCAATTCGAATGGCTTTGAAGATTGACAAAGAAAATTGGAATATCTCTATGTTCATAATTTGTTGTTGTCTATTTTCCAACGCGTGTTTAGCTGGGACCACAAACTTTATCTTATTTGTCTTATTACTTAGCTTATGTCATTAAATTAAGATATAATTGGAGATATTTTGCATCGCTCGTATTAGGATCAACTGATATAAAAACATACCGTTACAATAAAAACGGTTCGTTCTGATGACTTTCATCTTGCGTATACCATTTTCAATGGTTTTTTATTTCTTTAGGCCATCGACCATTTCCAGCATCTCTGAATAGTAGTAATGTCTATTACGAGTATTTTCATTTATAATAAAGTGTCAACACTTAATCTTGTTTACGTGTTGGCATGGTAAAAGATTTCTCTTGATTTAGCTTTATTACCCATATATATCCAATTCCCTTGATAATATATATTTTTAAGATTTTTCCTCTTATAACAAGAAAAAAAAATTAATGGAAAGTTCCGCATTAAAAATTTTATTGGTGAGAATGACCACTCTATTTTTTTATATGAAACTTTATCAAGTCCTTTTGACCAATAAAATTTTTAACGGTGGATATTTTCTTAATTTCTTCTTGTGACAATAGTAAAAATCAAGGTTTAAAATAAGGTTTCTTGGCTCATAATCCCAACTAGGGTTTTCCACAATTCACCCAAAACTTAGTAGTACCACCTCCAATCCTTAATATAAGAGCTAGTTGATTGATTTGAGTAGATTAAATAAGTTTATTAAGTTAGTTATTTATAATAAATGTGTCATCTTTTCTAGAATATCCTTACTAGTAATTTGTATGAGCTAAATTAATATTTGATTGAACATTTAACACGTACAACTACTATAAGCATTACTATTAAAAAAATAGATAAATATAAAAAATAAAAAGGATTAAGATCTTACATTTGGAATCAAATTTAATGTCAAACTAGCTCTTATATATATTAAGGACCGCTGGTAGTATTTCATAAGAAGCTCGCCTCAAACTTCAATTTTCTCATAATTTCACACAAGCCTGATGGTTTTCCTCGTATGCTCACTCAAAACACAACCCAATATACCATATGAAAGATCTTCGCAGTTAAGGGATATAATGCTTCCTCTGCCTATAGCATTACAAGAAGGTAACAACAACGATTTTTTTTTTTTTAAATTTTTAGTTTGATTGGTGTGTGCTGTTTGAAACCTACCTAAACTACGTCCCCTTTGCTTTAAATGGTGTTCCCAAATGTAAAATTAAGGAACCGCGTAACCGGAACACGTCTTTTGTTATTTCTAGAGGTTGAGAAGCCGTTCTATGTCAGAACAACAGCAAAAGACTACCATATGTGAGTTTTATTATTGGATTATTATATGTTGGATCTGACTTATAATCTTCACCATTATTTCTTAAAAAAACCATTTACTGTTGTCTTTTCCCAAAAAAAACTACTTGTGGTTTCCCCTATCTCCTTTATCATGCGCCGCCAATGTTATAAATAATTGATCATGAAGCTTTCATATTTCAACAACAAGAAGAAGAAGAAGATCATCGATCATCATCAATATGGAAAACCCGACATTGTTGTTCTTCTGCTTCTTGGCTTTTTCATTTGTTGTGTCTCGTGTTGTTGCAAGTGGCGATGCTTTGGCGCCAGCCATGTATGTTTTCGGAGATTCAACAGTTGATGTTGGAAATAACAATTATCTGAATACAAAAGCAAAGGCAAATTGGCCTTATGGTGTTGATAATCATAATGAAACAGGTCGATTCAGTAATGGCAAGGTTTCAGTCGACTTTCTTGGTAAGATTTTACGAATCAGTAATCAATACCAATATACAGTACTTCCTTCTATCCCATATATAAGATAATTTTTGGAGTAGACACAGTCCTATTTATAAGTTACCCTTAAATATGACTTAAATTTTAACAATGTTTTTTATTTTTGTTCTCATTAATTACATGTAATTACCTCCGATCTTTAATATAAGAACTAAATAACTAATTTGAAGTGATTAAAAAAATAGTTAATTTGGTTATTGATAACAAATATGTGTTGACTTCTCCATACTATTCATTTTAATCATGTATATTAGAACTACCTCTAGTAGGAACACCTTACAATTAATAGTGATATTTTGAAGAAAAAATTATAAATTTGAGATTAGGTATTATATTTAGGACTAAATACAATTCCTAACTAGCGCATATTAAGGATCAGATGTAGTATATCATTACCTAATTGTAACTTCTTGTTTGCATCTTTTTCGCACTCATTATCTCTCTATCACGCTCACTTTCTCCATAAATGTGTTTTTTGGAAAATAATAATTTTTACATATTTCTTGTCTTCAATCAGTTGTTTAGTATATGTAATTTAGTTATTTTTATCTTCTATATATGGGACAGGAGGAAGTATAAAACCTATGGATAGCATATATATCACATAAATGAACAATATGTTTCATTCCTTAAACTCTATGCAATATGGAGGGAGAAGCACTTGTCGATACAATTATATTGTTTGTTTATTTATTGTAAGATCAATGTTGTGACGTGTTTCACAATTAGCATCCTAATATTTTAATTGCGACATTCAAGAGTTGCATCGTTAATATGTATCTGTCTTTAAATATCAACTTAATTTTATGGTGTTTTTCTTCCTTGATATATAGCTACTTATCTGGGGTTACCAACTCCTCCTGCGTACTTGAGTCTCTCGAAAGATGAAAGAAGTCATATAATTACCGGAATAAACTATGCATCAGCATCGTGTGGAATCTTGAACACAACCGGAAGTGTAAGATTACATATTTGAAGCTTGACAAAAAATTTCATCTTATCATTGCATTTGTATAATTAAGTAGTTTAATTCTTCTCTTAAATGTTACATGTTTATGATTAATTGATCAATCTTCTGATGAATTTTGTTTTTAGGGAGAATGTCTATCTCTGGCGAAACAAATCGAATACTTTACTTTAACAGCGACACAGGATCTTCCAAAACAAATAAACAATGAAGAGAAATTACGAGAACAGCTTGCCAAATCCATATTCTTGTTCTTTATCGGCAATAATGATTTCAATCCTCAGGTGAATGGTAACCTCACGGCCAAAATGAGTTTCAACCAATTATCAGAAATTCTCCTTCACGAAATCACAAAACAAATTAAGGTTTGTTCCATATATATATGAAAGCCTTTTAAACTTTCTGTCTGTGATAGCTTCTACAATATGCTAGCCCCACACACACACACAAGTATAATCACAACGTAATTATGATATTAAAACCCAACTCAGGTATGGTCAAGAACTTTGAACGAGTTGGCCGAGTTAAATTTATATTTTTTTCTCTCCTAGCAGGAAACATTGTTATTTTGAGCTAAAAACATATTTATGCTCTAGCAGTTCTACTTTGTTGAATTATATGATGTTTATATATTTACATAGGCATTGTTAATGCCTTTCTATTTAAATATTACTTTTTTCAAGGTAATATATTATATATGACTATTTTGAATATTTTAATTAAATTATATTATTTTAATTATGACTGGGTCCATCCTAATTCAATCACAGTTGGACCACAATGACCCTTGAATCCGTATCTTAACCAGTTCAATAACCGATATGACTTATCTTCAGTACATTGATCATAAAACATGTTGCTTTTCAATCAATTTCAGAAAGTTTATGATCTTGGAGGAAGAAAGTTTGTGGTAGCAAGCCTTTCAGTGTGTCCGCCACATAATTATAACCTAACAGACGGATGTGGAAGCAGATATTATGCAGACAAGCTTCCTGGTAGGTTAGGAGGCTTGAAACAGAATGGTCACTCTGGCTTAGTGTACACAATATTTGACGCATTCAGAATATACGCAAGGGTTTGTCACAATCCCCAAGAATTTGGTTAGTACATAAACCTATTTGTTCCTTAACTCTTGAAATGTTAAAACCATCTGTTTAATTAGTTTATATTTTTACAAGTACTAGTAGCTCATTGTTTGTTTGTTTTTGTTCTTTTTTTTGGGTTTTGTTCTGCCTATACAGGATTCACACACGTTGGTGTGCCATGCTATGACAATGAGAGTAAAAAGCTCTGTCCAGATAGATCAAAGTACAATCAATTTGACAAACTTGGCCATCAAACTGAAGCCTCAAACGAGATTCTAGCAAGGGATTGTTTCAATGGAACCTCCTGCTCTCCTTACACTCTATTGGACTTAACCAAGGCAAATTAAGAGTGTGTTTGTATTAGCAGTGACAAAAGTAGCTTTTATTTCATCTAACTTTTGTACAATTAAGTTAAAATAAAAGTCAGTTAGTATAATGTTATTTATGTTTGGATTGGTTATTTAAAAGAGTTTGTTTGACAAGTTATAACTTGTTTAAATGATAAATTTTAGAAGTAATGGGTTTAGGTGTAAAATGACTAATTAAAAGGGATGAGTTTCATTAAATACATACATATATATATTGATATGGCTATCTAACTAGATCATAGCATTATCGGTTTCAATTGGAGGTGTGTGTATTATATTTATATAATTTGATAACTTTAAAAATGTTAAAATTACAATTATAAATATGAACAGAGTTAATGTATCATCGGAAAAAATTGTAAATACTAATAAACATTTAATTAGATATATTTAAGGGTTAAAGTGCATCTAGCACCCTAAAGTATTTTGTGGTGTATCCAGTACCCCGAAATATTTTTTAGATGCATCTAGCACCCTAAATTTTTTTTTTTGGCCTTGATGATAAAGGCACCAAAAAAAAATTTTGGGTGCTGGATGCAACAAGAAAAATACTTTAAGATACTAAATGCACAAAAAAATATTTCAAAATACTTGACGCATTTAAAAAAATACTTTAGGATACTGAATGCACCATAAAGTACTTCAAAGTGCTAGATATACCTGAAAAAATACTTCAGAGTACTGAGTGTACCTTAACCCTATATTTAATACCAGATATAGCTAATTAATGAATATTGTTTTATATTTTTGTAGATCTGTAGAGCTTAATTGAAGATTAATAATATAGATCAACTGAGCTTGGAGTGGAGAGCGGACTCTTATCATTAAATGTTATTGGTTAATTTTTTCCTTCTCAATGTACCTTTGCAATCATAAGCTATTGGGTCATCTTTAGAGTAATTTTATCAATTTTTTCCATTAAAGCAAGTAGATGGGACTCACTCTTCAAAAGACTCCTTCTCTTCCTTTCTTTTTCATTACCATTTTCTCTTCTCTCTTCACATCAGCAACACCATTTTTTAGCAGCTCAATATGGCTTTCACAATGATACAGTTTTGCCCAATAAGCCCTTCCAACAGAACACTAATCCAAACAATATGGTAGAGACCTTTTCCTTTCTCAATGTACTCCTCCGGTCCTAAAAATAAGACCCTTATACTAGTGTGTATTAAGGGTCTTATATTTAAGATTGGAGGAGTAACTTTTTCCTGTTCACCACAATCCCAAACACGTATAGATGTGTGTATCGGCATTGCCCCCTTTTAGATAATGTTCAAACTTTGATTTGAACGTAATTACTTTCATGATTTTGTATCCAGTGGTAATTTTCTTATATTTTTGGCATTTATCTTATACATTTTTACTTCTAAATCAAATCATGAAGATTAGGGGTGTTCATCAAGCCCGCTAGCCCGGTATGCCCGCCCGAGCCCGCAAGAAAATGGCCCTGCCCAGCCCGGATAAAAAATAGCCCAAAGAAAAATGGGTATTTTTGGGCTGGGCATATTATGGGCAGGGCAGGGCTGCGGGCATGGTATGCTGCCCTGCCCATTTGGCCCTGCCCGTGATATATATATTTATAATTCTTTTTTTTTTTGCCAAAAATACTTATAATAATATATAATATATAATAATATATATTATTCTCCCCTCTTTTATTTGCCATAAATACATTTAGTAGTATGCGTAATTCTTCCTTCTTAGTATCTTTTTAATTTTTTTTAATTTGGTTTAGTATCTTTTAGTTTGTTTTTATTGTTGGTTGTCTTACAAAGATGCAAAAGCAAGCTCACTTTAGTGTTATATTAAAAGATATATCAATTTAAGACAAAGCAAAGTTATTAATTTGTTGAATTTATTGTTTATTCAAGTATTTATTTCTTTATAATTGTTATAAGATACCTTTACTTTAACTAAAAAAAATTTCACTAAGGTATCACTATTTGGGCTTGGAAGCCCGCCCTGCCCAGTCCGTTATTGCCCAGCCCGAAAATGGTTAGGGCTTCTATGGGCAGGGCAGGGCAGCGGGCCGCAAAATGCAGCCCGCTCATTTTTCGGGCTGGGCATCGGGCAGGGGACATGCCCTGCCCAGCCCTGCCCATGAACACCCCTAATGAAGATGACATAATTTAGTAAATAATACCTTTGGTCCTTAATACTACTTCCAATCCTTAATATAATAACTAGTTGACTAATTTAAATAAATTAAAAAAATTGGTTAAGTTGGTTATTTGTAATAGATATATGTTATCTTCCCTAAAATATCTTTACTAATCAAATGTATTAGCTAGAATTACCATTTAATGAAACTTTTAACATGTGCAAATATTGTACTATAAGAACTACCTTGAAAAAAATTAAATAAATATGAAAGATAAAATAGATCGCAGTTTTATATTTAGAACCAAATTAAATGTCAAATTGGCTCTTATATTAAGAATCAGAAGTAGTATAACATCTAGTTGGGGGTTGGATTGGATCTTAAATAAAAGAAATCAATTTACTTTGTCTTCCAAATTTATACTTCATTTTCCAAAATATCATGATTGATTACATAGAGTTTTCATTTAAAGATTGTCATTTAAAAATGATACTTTAGAAAAATTACGTCATATTTATTATAAATAATTAACTTAACTACTTTTTTTAATCTACTCAAATTAATTAATTAACTCTTATATTAAGAGTGGAAGGTGATATTTATAAGGGAAAATTTCATTCAAGGACCGCTAAAGGCAATTAACTTCCAAGAGCCCCCAAAACAATCTGAAAAGCCACTGCAGGACCGTGGGGACAAATTGAAATTAACTTCAAAACCAAAAAGATAGTGTTGCCCCTCAAACTATTACTCTGAAATTTGAAGTCTTTTCTCTCTCTCTCTACTCCCAATATCTGAAGCCCCTCTCCCTCACTCTAAAAATTTTAGTTTATGCAGTGAAGGAGATCGCTCCCCTCACCTCGCTACTGTTAAATATTTATTTGTGCAGTATTTGTGATCCATTGCTACTAGTATTCCGTTGGCCAAAATAAACAATGCGATCGTGTGAATAGTCAGTAATATATGTGTTTTATCTTTTTCCCTGTTTGTTTGTTATGCTGCTACTTGTTGTCACGCACTTGAAGCACTTTGTACTCATGGAGTTTGGAACAATACGGATTTTCTTAGTTAAATAAAAATGATATTTTTAAAATAATTTATAATCAGTTGTTAATCTAAAAGATCTAAACTTATTCAAAGAAAAATTTCTGATGGAAATGCGTGTTGAATCTGTGCACAATAAGCCGATGCTCTGGATTATAAGCAATTTATTTTGTATAGTGCTATGAACAGATGGAGAATTTCATGATGGTACTTGGAGGTAAATTGCCCTAAGTACTGAACTTAAACTAGCCAGCGACTACATAAATGTATGAACAAATTAATCGACTTGCAAATGGAAGTATTTTTATTGTTAATGTATGTATCCTTATTGCAAAGTTCCTAATTCCACTTGTGAACAATCACTTCCAGACCTGTGAATTGATGTGTTTAATTTTTTGAATGAAATAAATCTACTTGCAAAAGGACGTATTTCTATTGTTAATGAGTGTATCCGTGTTGCAAATTTTCTAATTTCACTTGTGAACCCTTACTCTCAAACTTGTGATAAACTTTTTTAATTGAACTAGCTCACTTGCAAATGGATGTGTTATTCTTATTAATATACATATCCTATTTGCAAATTTTCTAATTTCAGTTGTAAATGATTCCTCCCAGATTTGTGAATAATCATGTTCAGCTTCTTGAATTCAACTAGCTCACTTATAAATGGACAAATTCTTGCTATTAATATACTTATTCTTCTTGCAAATTCCTTGGGAAGCACAAGTCACAATATCTCTTGTGTGATAGTCATTTTCTATTGCTCATGAGTTCATTCATTATTTTGAGTTTTCATTGACGCACCGGTGTCAATCTATTGACGGTACTTATTGTTGTATCACAAGAATAATACACTTCACTAAAGTTTGAGTTGTGGTGGCTCATTACTCATAAAAGAAATATGCAATTAGCTGCTATTACAAACTATTTTAATAGATAAAGACAACAAAAAACAAAGCAATGACATAGCAATTATTATATTTTTAGTTCAAATGTAATTTAAGCTATTTTAGAATGTGTTAAAATTTGTGTATGGAGAATTTGCACAATTTCTGTTTTAGGGAATATACTATGAGTAGGTTACATGTCAATTAATTACAATTTGTTGTCTTTCCCCACTAACTTGCAAGTATGTAATGTACTATTGACAACTCGAATTAGAAAATTTGCAATAAGGATACGTTGATTAACACTTTGATGTCATGGGTATTTGGTTGTCATATTGGCAATTAGAATTAGAAAATTTGCAATAAAGATACATTGATTCACAAGAGAAACTCGTCCATTTACAAATAGGCTAATATAACTAAAAAAGTCATATATGATTATTCACAAGTCTGAAGAGCACTAATCACAAGTGGAATTAGGCAATTTGCAATATGAATATGCATATTAACAATAATAACTTGTCTATTTACAAGTGATCTAGTTGAATTCTAGAAGTTGGACATGATAATTCATGTTTGGGAGGAACTATTTGCAACTAAAGTCAGGCAATTTGCAAGAAGGATAAGTATATTAACAACAAGAATTTGTCCATTTATAAGTGAGCTAGTTGAATTCAAGAAGCTGAACATGATTATTCACGAGTCTGGGAGGAATCATTTACAACTGAAATTAGAAAATTTGCAAATAGGATATGTATATTAATAAGAATAACACATCTATTTGCAAGTGAGCTTGTTCAATTGAAAAAGTTTATCACAAGTTTGAGAGTGAGGGTTCACAAGTGAAATTAGAAAATTTGCAACACAGATACACTCGTTAACAATAGAAATACGTCCTTTTGCAAGTAGATTTATTTCATTCAAAAAATTAAACACATCAATTCACAGGT